TCATCTTGAAAAATTACAATTGACTACCCTCTGTAAGTGGTAGATCGACCGAGCAAAAATTTGGGCCTAGTCAAACGAAAGACTTAGGGTCTGTTTGGAGCAGCTGCAGCTTATCTAGCTTATGCTGATAAACAACTTATCCTGAAAATCTATTCATGACTAGCTGATCCGGATAAGCTGACTGGTTGTTTGGTTTGTGCGTTTGGAAAACAACTGATTCTGGATAAATGACCAATATGCCCCTGATTTGCAGCTTTTTTTTACAGAGATCACAAAATTTGGCAAGCTTGTGCTGTAAAAAAATCAAGATTGACATCTATATATTAGTCAAGGAAAATAAATTCCAGGCTAAAAACGAAAATAAGCCATAATTCTTTCTGAAGATTAATAATCAACAAGCGAAAGCAACCAAGTCGAGCAGTTAAGCAGCCTACTTGAGCCGAGCAAACAAGCAAGAAAATCGAGCGTTCAAACAAGAAAGTCGAGCAGTCAAGCAGAGTCGCGATCCCATCCTCGCCTCCCTAACCGAACCTCTCACGAGATGGAGAGAAAGAAGACCCCGGCGAGGTCTGCCAGCGACGGACCAGGGCATGACTTCGGTCGTGAGAGCTAGAGGGAGAGGACAAGTTCGTCGTTAGGATCACACGAGAGAGAGGAGCTCTTCCGGACATCGCCCTCATCGCCAGCTGTGGAAGTGGAATCTGCTGTTGAGCGCATAGTCTTCCGATTGTGCTCGATCACTCTCTTCCTCCATCTGCCACACGAAGCAGAAGGGCAGGAGAGGTATTTCCCGATCAAACACACCTCTTGGAAGCGGGATGCAGGGACGATCCAGCTTCCCGCTTCATTTAATAAAACCAAAACTCTGTTTTGAAAATGCCTGCGAGATGCTCAAACAAAACGACATGTCAAAGTTTTAAAAACGCCACCGCAGCAAAAACACCCCCCTAAACGCACCCTTAGGTTGAAGAATGCCCAAATGGTCATCTCCTAAGAGTTGACACCCATACCAGCTCGGTGCATAATGCCCAAATGGTCATCTCCTGAACGACCATCAATGACACCACGATGTCAGACTCACCCATAGGAACAAAATTAACCTTCAGTTCCCAAGCGATAAAAGAAACGATTCAAGCCAAACAAAATCTGCAAATTAATCAAGGTATGGTGAATAAAATCATGGCTCGATCTAACAGAAGATTACATGTAAAAATGAATTAAAAGTTGTATTTCATTCATTTGATAGTTCATTACAAAACTATCATGCACATCATTTTGATTACATGTAAAAAAAAAAGAGGAAAAAGAAAGAGTTTAGGGGTCGTCGGGCCTAGGGCTGTCAAAACAGCTGGTCACTCTCGAACAACTCGTGTTCGGCTCGTTAAGAAGCTCGTGTTCAGCTCGTTCGCTAAGTTAACATGTCAAACACGAACAAAGATTTGTTCGTTCGTGTTCGGCTCATTTTGGCTTGAAATACTACTCATCAATAATATATATATATATTGATGAGTAGTATTTTTAAAAAAATTAATTGACTACAAGACTACAAAGATTTATAATAAATTAAAAGTATTAATTTAGAAAATAGAATAAAAATTATTAAATTAGATTCAAATGATGTTTTAATATAAACAATAATTTTTAAATCTTGCCCCGATTGTTAACATCTTATGGCTACGTGATTAGGGTTGTCAAAACGACACTTTGTTCGTGAATGACTCGTTAAGCAAACGAGCCGAACACGAACACAATTTTTGAGCTCAAAATATAAACGAGTCGAACACAAACTTAGCCTGGGCTTGCTCGTGTTCGGCTCGTTTACACCACTAATCGGGCCGAGTGTTGGACGATCCTTTGTCCGCTACGTTATTGCCTTCAGACTCATCTTGATGTTTAGATGCATAAAGAGCGTCAAAAACTTCTTAAACTCCTCAAATCATGTTGAGAAATAGCTAGGAAAAACATAAAAATCCAACAATACACCTGAATCACAGATGTTGAAGCCTCATCTCTCTTGAAGAACTTTTGTGAGCTTTCTAGCTTCAAAAAACTTTCTACATTTTGTTTGGCAAATCTTGATTTTGGTTTTTTGTAGGATTTTAGGAACCACATCTCTTGCTTTTGATCATAGTGAACTAAGTTTAGTCGTTTAGTAGACTAGAGATTCACTTGTTGAAAGATTTCTTAGTCATTTCCTTTTGGGATCGATATGTAGTACTCCTTAACCGCATTATTACTTGTATGTGTACTTGTGTGATTGACTGACTTACTTAACAGTAAATTTTCGGCTATCAGCCCTCCACTTGGTATGCTCTTACCACCAGATCTTATAGATGAACCCTGTTTGAAAGCTGATGTGGACCTGATAGGCTAATATTGTTATGTTGTCTCTCCACCTTCATGGGTGTGTATGACCATTTTGTAATGTAGAATATAGCTACAACTATACCACACTGCCATTAGACGGTTTAAATCCACCTAAATATGGAGCTATGGTGTTCCTCCGACTTTATTAGCACACACTTCAACATAAAATGCTCAAACTCGATGGTGTACTCCTCTACTTTGAGATCATGCTAATGTAAATGGTGAAGTTTTGAGAACACGTCCTATCTATAATACTTTGATAGGTACTTGTGTTGCATCTCCATTTTCATCTTTGCCCACGTTGTGATTTACTTTTTTCCTCATTGACATTGACATTTCAAATGTATTTCACTATAGAGATGTACACTTCTTTAACTTAATGACAACTAGTTTTACCATTACGTTAAGTGAAATGCCCTTATATTCAAAGGCACGTGCCACTATCTAGAGCCAGTTAATGAACCCGTCAATATATATATATATATATATAGAAGTTGAAA